CTCCTCTTCTCTAGGCTGAACAAGCCCAGCTCCTTCAGCCGCTCCTCATAGGACTTGCTCTCCAGGCCCCTCACCAGCTTCGTCGCCCTTCTTTGGACCCGCTCAAGCACCTCCTTTTATTGTAGTTATCAAGTCCTGCCGTGCCTTACCCTGGGCTTCACTCTGCCCTAAACTCTGACCGTGCAACGTATGTACACCCTTATCTTGTCAGAAGACAGCCCCAAAAGCACACTTCTCTGTTGGCTAGAAATATGCCCTAGCCCTTACTTTACTGCTACTTGATCTCATGCCAGTATTTTCTCCCTTAGGTTAGGCAACTACCTAGCTCAGCTCTTACTACATCAATTTTATAGTTGATTCCATGTATTAATCATTATTTCCTCTTTGAACTTCTTTTGAACTTATTTCCTGAACTTCTACTTTCCTCTTTCCTCCTTTCATGCTCAAGAAGTCCCTCACTTCTGTAACATCATCTCATACAACTGACTTCTGTAGAAAGCCAACCTATATGCATATTATGTACGAAGAAACCCCCTGTATTCAACTAATCCTTTGGCTGCGCTCAGGCCATACCAATGCCACGTAGGAGAGCCGCTTCCCTTCCTCAGCTTCTCCACTCCATATCTGCCTGAAGTGGCCAGAAGTAAAAATACGGACAGTAACAACGCAAGCAAGCAGTTTGTAATGCTTTTACAGACATCCAAAAGAGAAAACGTTCATCTGAGGGATAGCTGTCAGTCAGAAACCCCTCTCTTATTTAAAGAGCTTAACTTTGGAGCACAGGTAAGTAGACGAAGAACAGTGTTATCCCAAATCAGAAATGAAACAAGCTTCTGGTCCACAGACTCTCAAAGTGAGCTGCTGAACAAAGCTCTTATACTGTTTAATGATCTGAAGTAACTCATACCTTGTATTTCCCACTGTCCCACATTGTCCAGCACGTTAATACAATCAAATATTACGTACCCCTTCTACAGAAATCGTGTTAGACGTCTGGGTGCCGACCTAAAAGTCTGTTTGCAGGTAGGCAATGTCTCTACTTGGATTCCAGTTGCTGGGAGGCAATCAATGAAACATTCCCAGTATATCCAACCCTCTTCCATCTGCTCGACTTAAGTTTTATATTATTTTATTCTACCAAGGTCTGAGTAATTAAACTGAATTTTTTTTTCTGCATGAAGAACACTGACATTGCTACATAGTCAGCTTAATATCATAAGGCTTGGCTTTGCAAAAAAGCACGCACTTTGCTTAAAATGAAGTTTAATAATTATTTCTGATTTTACAAAAATACTAAGCTATTCCTTACTTTTTTAAAGGAATACGCAGAATGGATTTAAGTTTTACAAACCAAAAACTGCCTAAGTTAGAGAATTTTCAAGTTGCAATTGATTGCACGCAGCTAGCCAGCAATAACATGCCACTCTTCCTCCCACTCCATGCACTGTACTTCAAGAGAAGTTTACATATTACAAAAGCATCCTTTCTGCTTTGCTTTAATTTCCAGTAACAGCTGCAACTGCAAGGGGACACCTCAGGTCCAGTTGCTTTGCTCCTTTTTTCTTTTGTTGCGTGTAGGGGGCAGACAGGTGCTCACTGACAGAATGCTTTTCCCCGTTTGCACGTTCAGAAAGAGCTGCCTCCTTCCACATGCTGCACACAGTGAGGCAAGGCTGCACACTGTGCCCTGTGACCACACCAGGGCTGGCCTGCTCACAGGTCCCTGGGACAAGCAGACATCCGTGGATCTTCTCTGGGGCACGTTCCTTTGAAGGACCCCTCAGCAGATAAGCAAAGCTCATGGGACAACATTCAGGCAGGAACAGCCCAACTCTCCCCACACACAAGATACCAGAGACAATTTCAACACCTTGAACATCCTTGTGCAAAAAAAAAAAAAAAAAAAAAAAAAAAAAAAAAAAAAAAAAAACATTCATCTTGTAAAGGAGCTATAAATATAGTAACATCTTCACTGTGGAAAGAGAATCGTTGTTTTTCAATAGTCTGAAGTTAACTTTATAGCCTTCCAGCACCGCCAAAACTGTCAGCCTCATGCTGACAGCCCAGGATCTAACCCATACACCTCTATGAGGACCAGCGTGGTATCAGTGGTGCAGTGTGACTGCCAAAGTACTTTTGTGCAAGTACGACTTGTCCAAGCACACCCCTGAACCCTAAGAACCGTTGGGTAGAACAACCTATATGAGGTTATGAGTAGAGGGAAGGACTCTGGGGACGTACAAAACTACACCGAACACGCACTCCTAACCAACTCCCTCCTACATCAAACAACAGCACTCCAATTAATGAGATTCACCATTTGGTGCATGCCTGGTTGCCAATGGATTTGGAAGAAAAGGCAATGAACTACTGGAATGGCCACACCAAACACATCCAACCGATACGACTTATCACATGAAATGGTAAAATAAGTTCAATTGTTTGCATCATGCAGCCTACTTTTTAACAGGTGCTTATGCCTCCTTCCCAAGGAGTCTCCTAAAAGCTACTGTAACAACACACAGCTGCCTGGAAGAAAATCCACATTTCAATTACCAACCATTTGGAAAAATAATATTCAGTTCAAGAGATTTTTCTTTCTTTTTTTGGCCTCTGATCACTCTGCTCACTTCAAAGGAACACACCTCATTAACCCTGATAATTAACAAGGTTATTCTCATCACATAAAAGGCTTAAGTTTCTCTATTAAGTCATTATTTGAATTTGCACTGCTATTAGATGATGAGGTTATTCTGGATTTAATTTCACATAATAAGATGTTTCTCTTTAAAGATTTTTTTTAATAAGGCACGTAATTCTCATTGACATATATGTTACATGACAGTGAACCTACTGGATAAGGAACAGATAACGTACATACAGAAACCAAACAAAATTTAACTCAAATCTAGAAAGTATGAGGCAGCAATACAAAAGGCAGCACAAATGGAAAACAGGCATCTGATGGCAACATGGCTGTGGCAGCAGAAGCCAGCAACAACTGTAAAAGGAAAGAAGGACCAAGATCAGAAGGGGATATGCACGGCTTGGGAAAAGAAAAACCTGTGTACCAACTCCAAGTTTGACCAACCCAGTAAGACTTCGCATGCTGTAGGCAAACTTCCAGCTCCCTTGCTCTTCACAGTGCAAGTGCGGTATAGCACATCGGGAGAATGTACATAAGGTTTCTCAGAACTGACCAGCTTAAAAAGTGTTCTAAAATCTAATAAGCACTTTAATTTTCAAGCATGGGTGTTCCTTGTACGTGAACTTGCTCCTTCCACAATAGGAAGGACAATTGTCTAAAGCAAGACAGTTACTCTGAGGAAAGCAGGTAATCGCAGCAGTCACGTACACAAACCACACATCAAATACAGAAACCAGTTTGTCTCATTATACACAGTGACATAATATTAGGTGATGTGTATTGTAGTTAACACAAGGAATAATCATAGCAGTGAAAAATTAGCCATGTTTACTTTGAAACGTAATCACACAGGTTTCATAGGCAGCATGCCTTACACCAGAGCATTTGAGTGCCTCAAATGTAAATACCTAGCTATGTCAAATTAACACACAAGGTTTTGCACGGGATTTAGTCACTAATAAATAATCCTAATAGTAATTCACTTAACTGCCGGAACAGATGAAACTCCTGTTAGAACAACAGCAAAGGGGAACCAGCTCACAGTTACGCTCAGCCCAGTCCCACATGGGCAAGCACCACCAGCCTGACCCATCCGCACACCTGAGAAGAGTATCGCTCATTTCAGTCATTTTCCAGAACTCCCCACCCACCCCTTTTTCCCCCATGTTTTAAAGCATCCATCACCAAGTGCTGCCACAACAAATAGCAGCAAGAAAATAAAAGGAAAAAAAAAAATTAAACTCTTCCTATAAGGAGTATCAGGAGTGCTGTGAAATATTCAGAATAAATCAACTATGCAAGTCTAATCAGAATGCTAACTCCCTAAGGAATTATCAATTTGCAAGTCTCTCGAACACCTAAAAAGGGCAAGAAAGTTGTTAAAAATATAGGAGAGTATTTGTGAATGAGCCATGCACTGAATTTTCTTTTTAAAGTCTAGAGCAAGTAACAGTTTGTCAGCTGAACAAAGGCAGAAGCATGCAAATGAGATGAACAGGGGAGGTAATGGAGGACAACTCTAAGCAGCTTGACATTTGGGCGAGCCTTTTGGCCAGGAATCAGATGGTCACACAGTTTGTAGTATTACCAGAAGCATCTGCACCGTACCTCCAGGAACACTCTGCACAAGGCTTGGACCCTGGGAAACACACCTGAAGGATCCCAGAGCATCCAGAGCTCCCTTTGTTAGCTACTCCATCCCCGTTCCCCTTCCCAAATGAGTGTTTTCCAGCAGACCCCGAGCCCTGGGAGCCGTACACCTCCACACCCGCTTTCCTTCCCTGCCCCAGCCGGGGGCTCGGCTCGCAGCGGGCGCAGCCAGGCGCTCAGCGCGGCTCCCTGATTTTCCGTCCCTTTTTGAACAAACACCCGGAGCAACCAGAGCGGCTCTGGCTCGGCTTTAATCAGTTTAAACCCAAAGACGGGAACTCTAATTAAAACCTGGACCTCCAGCTGTACGCAACGGCTAATTAGCTCCCAACTTTTTAATGAGGCGCCGCGGCAGCATCCTCTCCGGCTGCTGGGGATTAAAGGGGAGACGGGCGAGCTCTGCCGGGCAGCGCAGCAGCTGCCTGCCCCAATCGCCCCCGAATTTCCCCCAAAACCGTCCCGGGCCTTCAGGCAACCCCCCTGGGGCCGCGGGTCTCCCACCCCAAAACCATCCCCAACCCCGACCCCGCAGCATCTCGAAGGGGGCGATTCCCCGCCCCTTCAGCGGGCAGCCGACACCCCCAAACCACCAGACACCGGCTTGCAACCTCCCCCCCGAAAAAAAAAAGAAAAAAAAATCAATTACAAAATTAACAATAATTAGCGCTCCGCCGGCTCCTGCCTGCGCCGCCCGCCCACTCACCAGCGGCGGCCCGAGGAGCCTCAAGGAGCCCGGCGGCGGGGCGGCCGCTGCCTCCCGGCCGCTGCCTCCCAGCCGCCGCCCGCCCCATCCCGCCCCATGCCGCCGCACAGCCCCGCCGGCCCGCTGCCGCGACACGCCGCGACACGCCCCCGACATGACGTCACCCCGCCCCCCCCGATAAACGGCCGCCAGGGGTGGGAGGTGGGGGGGGGGAGGCAGCGCCCGCCCCGCGCCGTGAGGGGAGGGCAGGGGAGGGGAGGGAGGCGCCGCCATCACGGCCTCGTGGCGGGGCTGGGCCCAGCAGGTGGCCCCGCTGCCTCCCGGCACGCCCGTCCTGCGGTGACAGCGGCTCTGTTACCATCCTAAAGAGTGAAAAGGCGATAAAAGTGTTCGCATTTCTCCTCTCGCCGCCTCCCAGCACTAGTTGCAGCCCTCAGTTGTAGTCAGACTTTCAGAGATACAATGATAAATAAGATGCGAAGTCTGAGTATCTTCATTTGTGATTTCACCTAATCGGGTTTGTAACAGCGGTTATTATATCATGGCAAATAAAACTGAAAACAGCCTTAATTAGTGCTGCTCTGCCTTACTATCGTAACATACAGCATCAAAATACATTATCTCCTCTCTTGGAAAGGCAGCACTGGGGCAGAGCTTCCTGTTATCCACAGGATGCTTTTTCAAATGCTGAATCGGTAATAAAATAAAATAAACCTTTGTCCCCTTGGGGATCCTGATCCTCTCCCTCCAGGCAGGGGCAGCCACGTGAAGCTTCTGTCTGCTGCATGAGGTGAGTGGACTTGGCGCCGAGGTCTAGTAGAGGCGACCAGTCTCATGAATCCAGCGCTATGTCATTTCAGCGAGACACTTCAATGATTTCATTAAATGGAACACAAAATTTTAAAGGAAAAAATACCCTCTGAATCCGCAAAGACAACTGCTATTAGGAGAATAACGAAGCAACTATTAGCACAAGACAAGGGAGCGGGTGACATTTGGACAGTAACGGTTAGCTGAGAAAAGATGTGTACTCGACAGAAGATGTGAGCCAGACAATTCATTGAAATAAGTTCGTATAAAAAGACAAGCTCAGTTTAACATCACAGAATGATTTCCTCATACTGAATTTCTCAGCAGAGCAGTCTGTCAGTGGAAAAGGCTCATTTTAATCTCTACCACTGCACCAGTTAGCACTGAGGGTAATACTAGTTTAAAGAGACTGCAAACTTTTTTACATTCCTGTGAATTAGATCAAGTGAGCTGGGAGCCGTACCTTTGCTTCCTTCCAAAAAAAAAAAAAAAAAAAAAAAAAAAAAAAAGGCTGAGAACTACACAACAGAGCAACTTACTATGACAAAAAAAAGGTATCTGAGTTTGCCACTTACCATACCTGAACTTTTTTCTTTCATCCAGATTCCATGTTCCTGCAAACCAGTACAGCTGGGCTTTTAAAGGGACATGAAACTTACGCAAGAGTTTGTGATGAGCAAGATCCTGAACAGTACCTCAAGAGGTTCAGGAACGTATCATTTAAACAAACAGCTATAATTTCATGAGTTGATCCTTCCAACTATCAAAAATGAATATTGCATTTACAAAGCTTTCATAAATCCATGAATGACAGGCCATTTGTACAGCTACATATCACAAAATCTATGTGAAAACGTATGCCAAATTCTAGGTTTAAAGACAAAACACAACACATTTAACATGGAGAACATGGCCAAGAAAAAGGGAGGGAACAAAGAATCAAGCTATATTTAAGGCAGAATAACAAAGGGAATGAAGGGAGGAAGTGTTACAACGGGTACTTTGTTTTAATGTTTGTAATGAGATTCAAATTGACTTACAAGTGCAACATCAGTTTGCAAAGCAATTACCAATTTTAAGTCAGGATCTGCAGGCTTGATCCATGAAATGAAAGACAGCAACAGCACCACTCTCCTGTTCAATTATAAGTAACTTAATGATTTGAGCCTTTGCCAAGCCCTTAGGATGTGGTTACGCTGCCAGTTCAAGCCTATGTAAGAGGCTGCCACCAAAAGAGGGGACTCTTCCTTTCCTTCAGCTACTTTCAAGCCTTCGGGCGTCAGCATTAATAAATAGACAGACGATGCGGTAAGCAAGACCAGCTTATCCACCAGGCTGTCCAGAGATCTGCATATCTGAGAAAATCCAATCCCTCTCCGCTCCCCTTCCAGCTGTCACCAGTCCTTGGCGCTCAGACCATAGCAGGACGAGCTCACCCGCAAGCAGTAGCTCAGCACATGGGTTGGGAGAAGAGAAAACAGAAGGAAAGTCTTCAGCAGAAATGTGGTCACACTAGCTCAAGCCAGCTGTGAAACACACAAGTGGAAGCCATTAAGCCATGGCCAAAGACTGATATTATTGAGTGCAGTGCTTTCCTTTCCTTCTGCTGACAGATCTTCATTCACTAAGTCAAAACCAGCTGTCTTGGTGTACTGTACCTGTACTTTGCAGTGGAACAGCTCAAAACAAGGAGGATCAAGTCAGTTCTTCCTTGGAGCTGATCACTGCTTGGCTGTGATGTGTTAATTGTGTTATAGCAATTGTTAAAATGTGATAATTACATTTCCATTGTAATTACTTTTGCACTGATGATTTCTTCCTTTCAGGATAAAATAGATGTTTCATTTGTTCATGTTAAAATCAACATTAGAATCTGAGTAAAAAGTAACCACGGTGCAACAATGCTAGAAATGAGTATCTCCAAGACTGCATAAAAGGTTTTCATTAGAATAATAAATAAATAATACACAGAAGCCAGCCACTTATTTCTGCTTTACTGAACTGCTTCCATAGTCTGTTTGCCCTGCTGCAAGATCTTTAAAACACGATTTCATGCGTATTCAGAATAAGAAGCAAGTAGTAGAAGGCAGAAAAGTAGAGCTTTTCAGATCACAAAGGTGAGTGTCCAGATACAACATGAAAATGACAGAAATTGCTTGCCTTGTTCTTCTCCCTCCTCTGTGTAAAAAAAAAAAAAAATCAACTGAATTAAGAGACGTCCTGTCATGCTATACATTTGTGCTATATATTCAACAACAGCAATTCATACTTCCCATTGCCTGAACTAAACAAGCTAAAAAGCAGCATCATAACTCGTTTCTCACTTTGACCTTGATACTCGTCATTAATGAGACGGTTTTACTTTGACAAATTATGCAAGTGACCTCCTCACGTACATGACCACCATAGCACCATGCACCTGAATGATTTGTGTCTCTTCGCCATGTTCCTTGAAATAGTGATCTCTGCACAAAGTATTTTTAAGGTGAAGTATTAATTTATCATCCTTCTCTTAAATTAACCCTCTGTATTTTATATCCAATTACACACCCTTTTGCCATTTCATCCTAACATCAACTCCTTCCTTCATCTTAGAACAGCAGGATGTTGATGCATGCAAAACTGATACACTGGGTTGTTAATAGCACCTGGTTTTATTAACTTTTTATAACCCAGACATTCAGTTTTCCTCATTCTGCAATCGTCTGCTGAGAGCCAAAATGCAAAAACTTTGTTTTGCTGTAAATTAAAGCACTTCAAACTGAGGACTAGGGGATATCTGGCTTTAAGGAAATACTTGCCACATGCTGCAGTGCAAGTTCTATTCTAAAGAGAAGCGGGTCACTTTTTTACACTACTACCAAATCTGTGTCATATTTGGCTTGCTGAAGTATCCTTAATAATTAGAAGAGCATTTCAATAAAAAGATACACAGATACAGTATGAGGATTGATGTACCATCAAGAGACAGCACACAAATCTGAACACGTGAGGATATGTAGCAGCAAAACTCAGTGCCGGTAATTTAGAACCACAAGCAGGAAATATTACGTCTTCTGCCAACCCTCCTCCTCTTTCATCCTTATAATATCATGCCTACAAGTGCTGTGCTTCAAGTTACCTCTCATACAATTTTAATTCAGACCTACATATCTTCATGTTCTACACATGATGATGAGACAATGTTACACTGGCTCCCAGTAGCAAGTGTTTTATATAGTTATTACTCCCATTTAAGAGAGCATGTGAATAGTTATTACTCACATTTAAGAGAGCATGGTACCTCCTCACCCTTCAGGCTTTTCCAGGTCTCTGCTCATAACAGAACTAGCATTACAAATGTTTCACTAAGCGTTTTCTATTCTGAAATTTTACTATGGGATTGCATATGTAATAGTGTTTTGGTAGTCAGTATGCCTATTCAAGGTAACCATGAACAAAGCAGTGTTTTAACAAAATAAAAACAGTGAACATCAGGGCAGAAAGACAATAAAAGCTGTCTGCCTACCAAAAGCACCAAAACAAAGCAACAGAGTAAAAATAAGAGATTGGGCAAAACACCACTATGAGATAAAAACATTTTCATTTAGAGGCCATTTTGGTACCTCCATTATTTTTTATCTTGTGATCTTTTACTCCAAGTTACCTACAGCTCCTGTGCTGTATTTCCTTCTCAAAGACATTCCTAATTCAAACACGGAAAGAAAATTAACAGATTTTGCAAAACTGAAAGAAATAGTTACAATAATCCAGAATTAATATCCTGTTCCTGAGTACCATAGAGTGTCAAAGGTGTGGTCTGTTGTACATATTCTCTAGCTGCTTAACAGTAGCCTACTACAGCAGCTGTATTAGATCAATACGCATTATTGAAGTAGAACAAGCATTTTTGGTCACAATAAAATAATGCATTTTTACAACCATATTCTATTAAAAATCTCATCGACAATTGGGTTTTTTGTTTGGTTGTTTTTTGTGTGCACGTGTGCTTTTTCTCTTAAAACAATAAATTAATGGCTCTACGGGACCCTTCATAGCTCTTTATAGGCTGGCATTATGCTAGAGATGCTGAATGCTTGCATACCCAAATTACATCTGCAATTGCTAAAGCTACATTGTTCTCTCAAGCACTCACATTGTCAGGATTAATTCTGTTGGGGTACTCCAGCTTCCCATTCATTCAGGCACGGAACTGCAACATCTAAGTCTGGCCCACTGAACTTTATTTGATTTGGAATTACTGCCCTGTGCACAGACCAGCAAACCATTTCTGGTACAGTTCACTTAGCTGGTTTCTAGTTTTCACA